CAGCAACGGCACGTTTATTCCGAGAAGGACGAACAGAAACTGTTCGATCATGTTCCTCGTATAGTTGTGACTTTGTTCATGCTATGCTCGATCCAGATCAAACTGTAATTTTAATTCGTCTATTTCACTTTGCTGTTTCAATTTTTTTTTTTTTCTTTTTTAAATTTCGAGACAAAACAAGGACTTTTCAAATAAAAAATATGAAAAGGCTCTTTTCAAACTTCCGTTTTAACATTGTTACTCAGATAATCTGACTTCTTTACTTATGCATCTTTCTAAGTATTCTCTGAGTACCTTCCCGACAAGTATCTTCTATATTTTAGCATCAGGAGAGATTAAAATTGCTTAATGCTGCTTGTAATTATCATCAAACAATGTACCGTGATGCGATGTGTGGTAAAGGGGTTGATCGACATCTTTTTGCTCTGTAAGACTTAAACGTATTTAGGAATTTTTACTATTATTTAAAATTAAAAGTCATAGTGTTAAACGAATCTTTCCTTCTTCCCTTAATCAGTTTTCAACCCAATCAATCGAATTATTCAGTGCAATATGGTTTGCTGTAATAACGCAACCGTAAGTTTGGGAAAACTCGGTATTGCTGTAACAAGTTGATATTGTGAATTTATTCCATTTAATCCATCTATTGATGGGAGTTTAAAATTTTGAACCAATTGATCTCATCTTTTTCAATTTCAACACATTCTATCTAATACAATCAAACTTGCGTTCATTGAAAAAGAAAAAAAAAAGCAAGAATGATTTCTTTTTTTTTTATAGGTACATTGTTATGCGCTATCTAAAATTTAAATCGCCATTCTTGGAAAGAATATTCCCACCCACTTTTTTGCTTTCTACTAGTCAAACACCATTGAATCAATGTGGTGAAGAAGTAAAATATGTTAATCTTGACCCTCATAAATTTGGCACTGCTGGTGGTGGTTTTGGACCAGTAGCTGATAATGGTTATGGTGTTTCATATATTATCGTTGGCGATGATATGATTTCTTTTCACATTTCATCGAAACGTTCAGCACATAATACGGTATATGTTTTGAATTTGCATTAAGTTGTAATTAAGCTAACTTCTAAGAAATTTCGTCTTGAATTTCAGTTTGCGAAATTTTTGTTACAGTCCCTTTGCTTTGAATGATTTTTGTTTCCTGAAGAACAGTCAGATTTTCAATGAATTTTTCTATGGAAACTTTTTATTTATCTCTAATGCTTTCTACTGGTCTTTAATTCTGTTAGTTTTAATGTGAGCAACTGAAATGGCTTATTTTTGATTGCTGTATTCAATTTATATGTTATATTTAATGATTTACAGAGTTCGGCAAGATTACGGGATGATATCGCTAGAAGTCTTGAAGATATGAGCTTACTTTTGCAAGGGTAATAATAAGACATCAGAATTTCCCGAACTGTTCAATCATTCATTCAGGAATTGATGATCTGCTTATGAATATGTGTGATAGTTAAAATGATAATGAATCACAGATTTTCATAAACTATTTCTTGTTTTAAAATAGCTTTTAAGGCATCTTTTAAGATACCTTTAACATCTTTATATATATATCATATCGAAAAATTTGTACAGTATAAATTGAGTGATAATTATTCAGTGATAATTATGTTTATTCGTATACAAATATAGATTAAAGATATTTTGCAACACACCGTGTATCACCGAATAAGTTTTGTGAATCATTAATTTACATTTAGTACTGGTATAAAGAAAGATTAGATTAGATATTTTTTAGCATATATATAATTTAGGTACAGTTAATTAAGTTTATATTTTTCAAAATTATTGTTGCGAGGAGATCGAACTATTATATAAACTCAAATAATAAGTATTTAGTGTTACGGAGAGATATTTCTATCATTCGAGTTGAGTACGGCATAAAATTGGTAGAGTTTCATACAACAATAAATTGATATATCGTACGTATATTGCAGAATTCCTTTTACAGCTTGTAGTTTAGAAAAAAAATTCACATATGTCAAACAATACAAAAAAAATATGTATAACTTGCGAGATGTGAATTCAAATTTATTGAATATAAATCAATCGTTAAATTGAGTTTTTTGTGTCTTCATTTTTAATTCATACTTAATTCATATACTAAAAAACATATCATTTGGTATTTTTCGCTAAATATCTTGACTTTTTTTTTCTGGGAAAGTTTCCGGATTTCAATCTCTTTTTTGGATGCATTTGTCCGTTTTTCGACATTCGGCAGTCAATTTGATTCATTTCCATAATCATACATTATGGTCAAAAGAGATGAAAAATGTATTGTTGCAATGCTGCACAGTTATTCCTAATTTTATTACGAAAGATGAAGAAATATCACTTTTGGATGAAATTAATCCACATATGAAACGAATTCGTTATGAAAAATCACATTGGGATGATGTAATCTGTTTTCTTCTTTTTTTTTTTTTTTTCATTTTTAAATTTCAAACTATTTTCGATTTTCTAGATTTAATTTGCAGTTAACTTGTAGCTTGATTTGTTTTTTTTTTTTTTTTTTTTTTTTTTTTTTTTACAACTTTATTTTTAATTTAAATTAATCAAAGTGTAATCCTGATTTGTAACATCGTCTATTTTTCGTTTATTTTTAAAATTTTGTCAGTAAGTCTTCTGGAATTTAATCTATGAATCTTTTATAAATTGAAAGAGCTGTTATCAAAAGTTAATGAAATTACTAAGGAATACTATGATTATTGTGATGTGTAAGTTTTATTTACGAACAATAGAATTTGAAATATGCAATACGTTTCTTTCACGTCACACATAACTGTTGGCAAATTATTCATGTTTTGCTCCATTCTAAACATAATAATCTTTTATAATATAAAAATATTTTAGTGCCCAAAACTTTGAGCTCACTAATTTCAAAAATTTAGGCTATTCACTTGTACCGTGAACGAGAACAGCTAAAGTGGCGAAAAGAAAATGAAGCTATTCTTGATCGAATTCGAAAACACTCATTCGAAAAAGAAGATAAACAACATTTATTTGTACATATCCTTGATTTACACGAAGATGGTGTTATTAAACCGCACATTGATAGTGTCAGGGTATGTATTCCCTTCTTCTTTTCTTTCAAATTTATTTTTATTATTATCAGAATGTATGACAATAAATCAAACTGTAAATGCATTTCCAATGTAAATAAAACTTTTTTTTTTGGTGTAGGAATTACATAATTTTATTTGCTAAACATAGTGATTAAAAGAATCTTTTAATTCTCTTAATAATCTTTTAATTACTAAACAACTAAAAATGTTTACACTTTTTGGATCGTATTTTTTATCTCTTGATTTTTCTCTCCAGTATTGTGGTGATGTTATCACTGGCCTTTCCTTGCTATCAGATGCTGTAATGCGTTTACGACATAAAGATCGAAAAGATGAACTCATTGTTGATTTATTTTTGCAACAGCGATGCCTTTATAGAATGGCGTAATATTTTCTTTTTTTATCAATTCATCGTTTTATATATTTCAGCATTTTCAGCTAAGATTTAAGTTTTATTATTAGCGAATTACAAGTCATTGAGATTTTGAGAATGGAAGTAATTGAAGCATTCTAGCTTGCTGAAAAGCCAATTTAACTGAATGAAATATTTGGTATTATCATCTTATATATAATCATACTGAGAATGTAATACAGTAAACTGTCAAGACTACTTTTTTATTAATTAAAGTTTCAACCACTGTCGCGAATTACTACAATAATTTATTTGCTCTACTGGATAAAAATTTCAGGGAATTTAGTCGTTATGAATTTTATCATGAAGTGCTTGGAAAAGCGGAATCATATTTCATGGAGAAGCCGATTCCACGGAGTCGTCGCATATCAATAGTGTGCCGTGATTTGCCACGTAATGTACAAGAAAATGAATCGCACACTGCCAGCAATATTGTAGGAAAAAGAGAATTACTGCAACGAAGTGATACTGAACGAATTTAGTTGTTATTATGCTAAACCGATCTTAAGTTAGGAAAATATGGGGATCAAACCTCAAATATTTCCTTTAAGTTAGAATCATCATGATGAATTATGCATGATGTAAAATCATCTGTGCTGCTGAAATAAATGTTGTATTTTCAAGTTACCTATATCAGCGAAAATAATTCTAAACTACTCCAACAATATATATAGTTGTTCATTCGGCAAAATGTTTATTAGGATGTATTAGGATATGAAATTACTGATCAAAGAAAAATTAAAAACCTCCTACACACAGCCTGTTGTTTTCAATAATGGTAAAAAAGACTGAACCTACCATACGTTTGAGAAGACGCTTCAATGAATTAATGGTTACTGCCGGTGACGTTATGTTATAATACTATTTTCTGAACAGCACAAAAATTAAAGACGTATCGATTTTTTTCTTTTTTTTTTTCAGCGTTAAAGCACCCACAAAAGTTACAATATTTCAAAGTGAAACCATGATTATCATTTGATGCAAGCATATTAAAATAAGAAAAAAAATGTATAATACAACAAATCAACGACTGCACAAAAGTAAGGACTAATTTTCTAAAAGAAACTTTTAAATAAAACCTTGCACTGGAAAACCATTGCAGTTTCGCAGTTAGCCCTTATCTTTACCTCGGCATGCTGATTTTTTGATCTTTTTTTTTTTTGTTCCTAAACTTTGGATACCAAGCATCAAAAATTGCGAGTTGCCATCAAAATAGTCCTTACTTTACTGCTTAGATCAAAGATATTTCTCAATCTATATCACATGAACGCAGTTCACACTTCGGAAAAAAAAAAGATTTGAACGACATTAAATGAATTGTTATTTTTCAACATGGATATGTCACAGTTCTTCGCTCTTATAGGCAGTTTGGAAGATATGAAAATAAAGAAATTAAGAGCAAAGTTATAATCCGAATTTGGAATACTTTTAAAAAAAAGAAAAATTCTGCAATAAATTTCGTAAAAGGAAACAACATGAAGTTTCAGAACTTTAATTTGATTCATTCCCGACGTAGATTTTCCAACCTAGCCTGTAGATCAGCATCTGCATCCGACAATGCTGGCTGCGGCTGTCGGTTTTGGTCTGCCGGCTTTAATGAACCTTGTGCTGCAGGTATCGCAGACAGTTCCTCATTCATCTGGATTCCTAATTCATCTAACACCTGCAAATAAATGATGTTCGGATGAATCTTCTGAAAATTATTTCATCACATATAACACAGCATGTTATATGTAGCCATGAGACTAACTGATTTTTGCAATATAACATGAACGCCTTTCTTTTCTTTGATAGAAAAGCAATAAAACTAATCAATACATCAAATTATGATATTCTTCAATGGTAAAACTAGCAATTATCAAAAGTTGCCATTTTAGTATATATTCTCATTGAAGTGAAAATCTGATGAAACATCAAGCCGGTCTCATGAGATGTCTCAGTAATAAAAAATCAAAGGCACAGTTCAAACAAACATATCACTCAAATATACAAGTAAAACAGTACCTGCAGTAATACCACAAAGCAGAACCTATATTCAAATTAACACAAAACAATTATCCTAAGCAATTAAAGTTTAAAAAAAAGAATGAAATTCTTATTATATATTGACTAAAACGATGAAAATTAAAGAAAATTACAAAATTTATACCTGAGCAACAATTGTTTCTGTTTCCTCTTCATCACCCTCATCTGCAATGGCATCATCTACTGCTTCACCCATCATTTCCTCTTTCATATCCATAATTTCTGATTGCCTTTCAAATTCCATCATTATTTTCTGGATCTGAGGCAAATTTAACTGTCGATTCATGTTTTGCATTGCCCGCGTTACGCCTTTCATTGCTTGTGCCATTGCATCTTGACTTTTTAGAGTTTGCACCTGCAAATCATTGATGTCTAAACTGATAAAATTTATTTAGGACATGTAAAGGAGCATCAAAGAGAAGAAATGACATAGCTCTTGGAATTTAAAAATATCGAACTTTTGAAACGATCATAATCAATTTCATGCTGATTACTATTTGAGCAAAAGTAATTTTGTATGACATGCCATACTTAACTTCGTTTAAGTCTTTGAACATAAAAAAACTTTAAATCGTACAAAAATTCGAATAACTTTTATCTGTATCCACAGCTCTGAGTGAAGTAATTAGAATAAAAACAGTCATTAGGAGAAAAGAAATCAATAATAAAAGAAATACCCTCAATGAGACGGCTTGTATGTTAGCTTTCATCATAATGAATTTTTTGACATGTCGGCGAGTCCGGACAAGATCTTTTGCCATAACTTTTACTGAATCCTGAAATTTCTTGAAAAATACTGAAAATTATATTTTCTACTTTTACAATAATTCTTAACATTTTCCTTTTGATAACATGAAGCTATTCGAAGTTGCACAGATCAACAAAGCATTCGCCCACTAAAATCATACTCAAAAAACTATTCTATGCTCATTACCCAATTTTTTTTATCATTTAATATATGTGGTTGGGTAATCTTGAACTTCACTTCGAGCAGATTTCAAAAACTTTGAAGTTCCTCAATAACTGGCAAATAATGGACATATGACATAAAATTCAAACGTATTTTCTACCATTTGATTCATTTTGGCCATTTTCTTAATATCAGCAATAATCTTCTTCTCCTGCATTTCAAGACGTGATCGTTCTCGGTCCAATTCACGCATCGCCTTATTCAACGCTCTCTGATTTTGTCGTAACATTTCGGCAGGTGTCTTCTTTCGGCCAAACAGAAAATCCATCTTGTTACCCGAATTATTTAATTTGTATTTTAAAGCTGAAAAATTATGAAAAACATACAGAGTGATTTCATCCCGTGCAATGCATTTTTTTGGCACTCGCAGAGTTTTTAAATGGTTTATCTGAACAAATAAACAGCGCATAACACATACACATAAGCTAACCACTGAACCACTGCATTTGATTTACCCATACTCCAGGTAAAGTGTTATTCCTGATGAGTATTTGACAAGTTAAACCTTTCGACCATCTAATGCATCATATCTTTATTATATATAACATCCTGAAAGATATCCATTACGGAAATTCTCAAAAATATTCACAAACTTTACAAAAAAAAAAAAAAAAAGATAGAATAAGAAAAAAAGATTTTCAACAAATACGACCAACATAGTATACAAATGTCGAGAGTACAACAATTTCAAATTTTCAGCTTCGAAAGTTAAAAAAGAGGAAAAAGAAGAAGCTGATTCATCGAAACAATGAATCACAGTTAAATTGCTGTATGAATTTAATGAAAAATAAAAAATTCTCGATGGAATATTTAGTTGAGAAGAATGAAACTACTTTTTAATAATTTCTAGAAACTTTTAAAATGCTACAGAAAGAAAAACCCTAAATGCGTTATCCACAAACATCGCTTAATGACACTGCCAATAAACAATGGTAAACAAACAAAAAAATGACACTTTGAGCAGAGAATAGCGAACAGTTTAATTCATAAATTTGACGCGCTATGCAAATTTTCACCTCATAGCATTAAATCTAAATTAATTTCATTTAAGAAACAAATCAGATTGAAATTGGTCATTTGATTTATTCATTTGCTAAAAGCTAATTGCAAAATCGAATCATATGGCATCATCAAATAATGGCAAATGTCGAATAAGTAGTTATTGCGTTATCATTAGAAATCCGAAGGTTTTTAATGGATTTGTCAAATTTTTCTAACTGATCCAAATCCAAATCAGAAATGTATGGAAAATGTTTGAAAATAACTAGAAATAACTATACTTCTAGTTCTTACTTAAAATTTTGATACTTATAAAAATATTTGTTAGAAAAATAAACAAAAAAAAAAAAACTCAGCAAATATTATCATTTTCTTTCGCTTTTTTAGCAAATTAAACTAACAATGGAATGCAATAAACAAAGTTTGAAATTAGATAATACTGAATTTGTAATTAATGAAGAACAAATGATTGCAATGTCCAATTTTTTCAAACGAATGTTAATTAGTGGCGGTACTTCAATTTTTTCCACTTTTGATAAATTAATTTAAATTGACTATTAAATTACAAAGAAGTTTTACAACGAAATTTTATGGTCTTAAATTTAAATTTTTGGAAATTTAAAATGAAGATTACCTAGTTTGCATAGTTCTTAAACTTTGCTTTTATTATTCTTATAAAAGTTCTAAGTGAAATAAAGTAATTGAATTACAAAATATGCAATTGATGGATTAAAATTAGCTTTATTTCAAAAAACTTTAAAAATTAAAATCAAAGTTTTTCTCGTTGCATTCTTGCTAAAACAAAATTCAATAGAGAAATCTTATTATTATCATATGAGTTATTATTGATTCAATTGTTAAAAATTTTCATTCCTTTCTAAATTACAACCAAATAATATTTTAGGGAAGAAAAAAATAATTGTACTTGACGAATTAAAGCAAAAAGAACCGTGCTTCAATGCGATCGGATTAGCAATTGCAATTTCATTTGCAGATGGATATGCTAAAATACCACTAAATCGAGTAAAGTTTTTTCTTTTTTTAAGAAAACAAAATTTTGTACTTGCAACTTTTGAATTTCACTCAAATTTCAATTGTTAAATTTTAATTTCAATATATTTAATGTTAAATTTCTTTTTTTTTTTTTTTTTTTAAAGATTATCAATGCATTAGCAGCGGCAAATGCCCTTGAAATGTGGGATATGCGTAAAGCAATCATCGAACAACTGCGCATATTAGCATCGAAACCGGAAAGTGCGCCATTTGCTATTAGTGTTGCTGTATGCAATTTGGAAAAAAATAAGGCAAAATATGTCGTAAAGGTTTATTTTAAATATTGTTTCATTTGCTAAACTGAATTTCTAATTTGTTTCCTTTTTTATGGATTATATACAAAGTTTGAAATTTACTTATTATAAATTTACAGCAATCATTGGATAAATTTAATGAAATAATCAAGCAGAATAGCTTTCTTGCTATCAATGATGCAAGTTTCGAGTTTCTCATTTCTCTCTTCATTTATGAGGTTTGAAATTATAAATTTTCATCCAATATGAAGTATGAATGAATACATTGCAATATTTATATATTAAATAGATCTGATAATTAGAGTTATAGAATTTCAATAACAATTATTTAGTTGAATGGATGTAATTTGTTTTTGATTATTAGTTAATCGATAATTTGATATGAATTCGATATCAGTAATATATTGATAATTATGAAATGAAATTTGAGCAAAATTAGGCATTTTGAATTTTTAGCATTCGACCACAAGTGAAAATCAAGTAGCAATTGGATTAGCAGCGCAAGCAATTAAAGTTTGGTGCTGTAATGATGATCAGCGTTACACGGTTCATTGATTGATTTCATTTCAATCATTCCAATCAGACAAAATAAATGAATCAAATAAGAGAATTAGAAATTGGAAAACATTAAATAAGAAAATTCTTAATCCTCCGTCTGTATAAGAATTTTTTTCAGTTTGTAAAGGATATACTTAATAAATTGCGATTATTCTGCAATTTTGATTTTATCGACCAAATCGAACGATTAACTGATCAAAATTTAGCAATTCACTCGTTTCGGTTATCTTTTATTCTTTTCATTTTCTTACAAAAACTATAATTTGTGTAAAGTTTTATTTGCACAAAAATTTTTAGTAGCATTTTTAATAGCATGTGAAATTATAAGTTAACAATTATCAGTAATTGTTAATTATTTGTTGATAACCTTTTTCTTTTCTAGAGATAAGGTAGAATTAGTTAATGATGCCGCCACTCAACATAATACATTTAAAATGATAAGCATAACTAGCGGTGATCCAATTACGGATTCCGATGAACCGTTGAAGTTTGGTAAATTTCCATAAAATTTTTCTATTCAAAATATTTTCACAATTATGTGAAATAAGTCTAAAAAAAAATATGAGAAACCATCTATCATTGTATTAAATTAATTATGATACATCTGCAAAAACACATTGTAACATTTCGTAATGAATTACGGAAAATATATATATATATTACAGAAACATTCCGTCAAATTGAGCTTCCAGCAGTTAAACCGGATGCAAACGGAATTCGTCATTATTCATTCACCGTAACTTTTCTTTTTGATTTTTTCCTTCTTTTTCTTCGTTGAAAATAGAATATAGCAATTTCAGTAATAATTAAAAATGTTTCTACTTAATATAATCCTAATTGATATTACAGATAGAATTTGAAGCACCAAAAGAACTACTTCTCTCGAATAAGCCAAAACTTATTGGCTTACAGCTTGAAGCAATCGTAGAATGTCCGAATTAATAAGAAACATACGAATACAACTGACCAAATTCTAATTTGTTTACTGTTCAAGCAAAAAAATTTAGACTGGCAAACTTGGCTACTTATTGACTTATTGCACTGACAATAATGTAAAAGAAAAAAGTGTTATCAGATAGTAATAGTAAGCTAATTGAGTGTATTAGTAATGTATTTGTTTAAGTTGATAATTCTATCTGATAACACTTCTTCATTATCTTTTATGAGAAAATAATTATATCAAAAATAAATTTTATTAATTTGGTTATATAATCATTTCAGGTTTTTTATTCTATTCATCAACTAAGCTAAATTAATTTTACAACTACTAATTGAATAGTAATTAATGTCAAAAGTTTTTGAGATATACATTGATTGAATATCTTTTTACTTGTATACTGCTTAAAAGTAACTCAATACTTTTTACTTATACGCTTGTAAAAGTTAAATTTAGCAATAAAATTTATTTTCAAACTTTTAAAAACAAACATATTATGGAAGTGTCGATTTACTACAAATGTGTCTTCACACGATGCGCATCCAATTTTTCTGCAATACGACCTGCCAGCGTTTCAATTTCTCGTCTATTCCAATTTCTGACACATCGTTTCAGACATTTTGGCCAAGGTAATGGCCATTCTATTTCATTTTGTAGGCGACCCGATGGTACATTCACTTCTAATTCATACATCGTCCAAAAGAGTAATAAACGACGGTAGGCACGTGTTCGGATACGTACGTGATGTGGTAGCAAAATGAATGAATGATAAAGACTGCAATAATAAATTACACATTCCAAATTTTAATATTCTCTTCAATAACACACTTAACAAAGGATGGAGAAAGAACTATATGCTATTTAATATATTCATATTTATATATAAAGAACTATTAAATTATCAAGTAAATATAATGTGACATACGTTTAGTCAGATGTTAAATTTGACATTGGAAAGTTTTAATCCATTTGCAAGGGATGAAAACATAGATGCCTCAATATTTTTTTGAATTTCAGAAGTTTTAAATTAAAATTTAATGAAAAAGATTTTTAAAAACCTGAAAAAGAAACTAGACAGCCAGTAAGCAATTAATACATCAACGCTATAATGTGTTCGTGATATTGATAAGCAGATCATACCACCAATACATATTAATATTAAGCACCATCTTAAATAAGGAAAATTTTCTTTGAAAAATAAATTTTTTTTTCTCTTCAGCTCGAAATTTAAAAAAGAACTGAATTGAATTTGTGACGTTTTGAAATTTACAATTTTTGTATTAAATTTAAACTGCTAAATGAAATAAACCTAAGTGGCCAAATAGAATGTGGTGAATAATGATTGAAATAGAATGTTGTTGTAGAAACAAATATGGTATGTCCAGAAAATAAAAGATCACCACAGACTAATTTACCATTTTCACTGATCTGTAGGCCTAACTAAAATATTTCATTTTTTCTTTTTTTTTTAATAATTTCAACAAAGGAAATTTGAAAAATTTCGTATTTTCAAAACTAATTTATTTGTCAAATCAAATATGAAAGCATAATGGGAAAAGAAAATTTTTATTTGGAAAAATTTCCATATTATTGTTTATAAAAATTTTGTAACAATTCTGTTTTCTAAATTTAATTGACTTGAGTTGAAAAAAAATTGAAAAATGATGTTTTGAATTTGTAAAATATGTTGACTATGCTAAAGGCCTTTTTAAATGATTCAATAATTCACTTAAACAAATTACATCAAATGGCTTTTATAAGTAAAGTTTTTTTTTTTTTTCAGAAGTATTCAAAACAATAAAATATGAAATTATTGATACATCTATAATTATTTCGATGTCAAATGCAAATTAATCAATATTGATATCAAATAAACTTTAGAATTTAGTTTTGAAGAATGCTTTTTGAAAAATGGAAACCTTGAAAGAATGTTGGGCAAATCGTTTCAGAACACTTAGTACTGTTGCCTGATAATTTGGTTTTATACATTTACTATAAAATTTCAAAAATTCAGTGATAAAAATTAAAAAAAAAAATTTCATGAGATCAAAGAATGTCACCAATTATTTTACTAAATGTATAATAATTGATTTTTATAAGATAAAATTGTGAAATTACATTTGGAAAAAAAAGAAAAAGAAAGAATTTACTGGTAATTATTCTGATAACTTGCTGGAATATGAGTAACAGATAAGCAAATAGCTCGAAATGTATACAATACAGTTATTGTAAATATTAATCGACGTAAAACAATAATGCGATATCGATGAAAGACAGCGATAAATCCGAGAGCAATAATGCCAGCGATACAGGTAAGCATGTCACCAACGGCTAAAGCCCATTCCTGTTCTGGCACTAACGTAAATACCAAATCCGGTAATGCATTTCTGGATAAGATTAATTTAAATGCATCGATTTTAAAATCAAAATTTATGCTCTATCATAGATGTAATTCAAATTATTTCAATCAATCGATGAATTAAGGTGAACATTAACATTTGATTTCCAATAATTCGCTTCCTTCTTAGCTTCTTTTTCTCCCGCTTACGCTTAAATTCAGAAGATAATCAAGATTGAATTAAGATTAAAGAAATGGCAAAACATATTTACTGATTCGTTCTTATGAAATTTAAAAAATTTAATAAAATTAACCCAATTAATTAAATCCAAACCTACTGGTAATATCATGTGCTAAACAAATTACAAGTTGATTTAAAATTAATGATACAAGTAATGCTAGAAAGCAAATAAATGTTTTCAAATATTCCGGTCGGTAAGTTACCAAAGATTCTTGTGCTCGTTTTTTCTTTTCAGTGTTTCCTAAATTTTTTTTTTCCTTTTTTTGTCCTTTCTTTAAACTAATCGGCGATAAAAGTACATCAAAAAATACATATAGAAAAGTTGTTTAACAAATCATGAAGTTTAATTTTTTTTTAAATGAATTATGGATGAAATTAAACTTTTGTTAAAGTTTTGCATGCAATCAAGTAAACTTTATTATACAAATTTTATAATAAATACTTGCTGAAATTATTTCCCCAATTATTTACAATGTCTAAAAATCGATAACATTTAAATCTAAGATCTAAATTTACCGAAATTATTTATTAATATTTGAAAATAAATTTCTAAATAATTGATTTAATAGAACGAAAAAGAAGATTAAATTACTTTCTGAATCAGTGCTATTATCGTCATTAAAAGCTATATTCCTGATAAAATTTGTTTCACTTTCGCTTCGTTCTATTCCTTCTCGCATTTTTCATTTCATTCAACTACTGAAATTTACTATTAAAATTTGAAATAATTAATGCAAATTTTCAAAAGATTATTTAGCGATGTAAAAAAAAATTACTGAAGCACAGAATGAGAAGACATATTAGGAAGAAATATGAAATTACTAATTTATTTTGCTATTAGTGAAAGTTAATTCATTTTTTTATTTAAGAATAAAAAAAAGTAAATTTTAATTTATTTGTATTCCTCCACATAAATTGAAACAAGTTATTTTTTCCTTTAATTTTTTATCAATCAAGAAATGAAACAAAAAAATTTCCTTTCAATATACTTTTCTCTAACTGCAACAAATATAACAATGATCCGAAATGATCCGAGCAAAACTATTGTTAAGTTTATATTACAATGAAAAATAATTAATTTAAATGAAAAATTTAAATAAAAATGAATCATAGTAAAATGCTAGAATTTATAGTTATTAATGTACATACAAAATCATGAAAAAAAGAGAGAGAGAGAAAGAAGAAGTAGGTGGGAGAAAAAAAAAGATATAAAATTAATAAATGTTTATTATAAAATTTAAGAAATTTAAAAGTGCTAATTAATGGAACATATAACTTTTCCCATTTAATTTTACATCCATTTCGTTTATAAATATTCTATTCAACAAAAACTAAAAAACTACAATATTTGAACTAACAGTGATATACGATAAGTTTAAATAATTCTCATTAATTTTTTTTTAAAAGATTAGGTAGGAGTTTTTGAATTTTTGCAACTGTTCAAAAGTAATACGCATTGGATGACTTATGTAAATGATTTCCTATTGAAAGAATTTTGAGAAATTGCTTAATTTTCTAACAATTAATAGTATTATGCATAAATTTTATAGCAAAAAAATGTACTGTAGTGCAATGAAATACTACCGTATGACAATCTAATGGCATATAGTACAGCAGATAAACCATTGCAATGTTGCAATCAGGGTACTGTAACGGTGTACTGTAACACAGAGAAATATTACCGCGTTACAGTATATCAGTATGTTTTAGTCGCAATATAATTTAATTTGAAATTGACTACATTAGCTCTTCAAATTCAAATTATATCTCAAAGTTAAATTTTGTTCTCATAAATTCAAATCATGTACTAAATCAGAGATTTGTGCTTTTTCTCCTTTTTAATACTTAGCGTTTTCAACTATTTTTTCAGAATTATCTGTAAAACATTTAACTATTGCAGTTATTTTACATTAATTTTCCTGTGTATTTTTATATAATTCCGGACAGTAATTTTTATAAGAAAGGGAAAGAAACAGGACATTGTAATAAGTCGGAAATTTCTATGAATTTTTGTTTATGACAAGTTTATTTATTCTTAATAATTTCTGTCTGAACAGTTATTTTTTTGTCATTTGCTTACATTTGCTATGTAAAGTATTTATCTATCATTTGGTAGTAAGAACAAACTGTTCAGTTTCGTATCTTGCTTATCATTCTTTTTATCGTTTATCAATTGAGATTATGTCGTTGTAATTTATAGAAAGCAATCATTGTATTTTTTTCTTGTACTGTTAAAAAAAATATATATATAAGAAAGATAGAAATTATAACCAATTATACAAGCTACAAACATAGAAACAATATAAAAATAAACAATGAAGTAAACAGAAAATGAAAATTTCACTAGCAAATTATGTTTTATTTCCGGAATCATTTAACGGATTGTCGAATAAATGTAAAAGATTGCTTCGTCGCGTTGCATTAGAATTTTCATCATTTGTTATTTGTCGTCGATCTGTCATCAATGATACTGCTTCGTCCTTGAAGAAAATAACTCATAATCAGCTAAAACTTGAAAGCTTTATGCACTGTCAGTAATTTTTTATTTTATCACCTAACCAACATTCCAATGATAAACATTTTTTAAATCCATTGTTGTGAGGTTATCTGTTTCATCTAAAAATTCAAATAAAAAATTTCAATCATAAATGGCCCAATCGATAGCAAATTAATCATAAATCTTTAAAATTAAAATTAAAAAATGCTTAACATTAAAAATCTTTAAAAAAACAAAATCTGAATTTTATCATTTCCATCTTGATGTGGGAGAAATGAAAAGATTATTTGGATGCGATATGATCAAAATTATCAAAATTAAAACTCTACTGACTTTCCAAGAGCGTATTTTTTTCTTTATCAACTTATCAATAAAATTACTTCATTTGGTTGTTGATTCCCAAAAATAGAATTCCGACGTCGTTCAATAGCGCGAATGGTGTTCCGACGTAACGTTAGACGTCTTTCACTATTAGAACGATCAACTGCTTTGTTAATTGACAGCGCAAAGAAACGTTTCCTGAATGCAGCATCAAGCGTTTCCGTTTTCGGTCGATACATTGAACGCTTGGAAGATTCTAGATTGCGAACAATATTTCGACGTGAGATTGCTTGCTCCTCCTGAAATCATTTTTAAGCTCACCATCATTAAAGTCGATGATATAATTCTAAAACACAATAAAATTTTGAAAAAGGTAACAAATGAAAAACAACTGAAAGCAAGAAATAAAGTTATAAAATATATTTTCAGATTAAAAAAACGATTGTTTCAAGATGATAATTTTCAAAATAATTATACTGATGGAGCATTTTCATTGGGTTCGTCAACTCCACGGATAGCTTGTAGCTCACGTGCTATTTCAACTGCATTTTGTACAACCAATTCATCTTCCGTCAAATGATCTACACGTTTACGCCAACAAAATAATTGCGTTGACGCAATTATATGCGCCATAGTACCAAAACGATGCAATAACATTCCTATGAACTGCAAATATGATCACTAACTAATTTCTTCTCAAAAAAAGCAAAAAAAAGGCTTAAAAAATTTAGAAAATACAAAAAAAAACTAATGATTTGAAATAAGAAAAATAAGTGAAATAAAAACGCATTATAAAGAAATTAAAATATACTATGATAAGGATATATAAGCAAAAAACGAGATTGATTCTAGGTAAATACCTGAATGATAAGAATGGACATGAAGAAAAGTAGAAAGACTAATCCGATTGGTTCTAACTGCAATCGTGTAACTACCCAAATTGGTTCCCGAATATCCGTGTTGCATGGAATGATCGTATGATTATAACGTGGACCTAATGGCCATTCAATATGAATGCAATCTTTTTGTAATTGCAGCAAAAGTACAATAATGATAAATACGACATTTACCATAAAAAATCCTGAACAAACCTAAAAAGAAAATAAATAAAAAGTGAGAAGTAATTAAAGTTTAAAAACTTTAAATATCCAATAAAGTTATATCAGTGATTGGTTAGGGCAAAAAAGATTCAAGCATAATTACATGATAAATTTGCATAAAGGTGTGTTTAAGAAGTGCTGTAAGATAATTATTATTAATTTTTACACAGGTAAATATTTTTAGCCTGAAACAGGTAAGTAACTTCAGCTTGTAATAAGTAAGTATCTGCAGAGGAAGATTATACAGAAAGATGACATTTTCATCTATTTCCATAATTTATACATGCAACAAAAAAATTTAAATGAGCAAAAATAAAAAACCTTTGGCTTTCCTTTGCTCTTTTTTTTAAAAAAAAAAAGCGAAGGAATTAATTTGCTAATGAATAACTTTTAAAATAAATCAAAATTTCAGTACAAATCAAACTATTCCAACCTTATTTCTTAGTAACATTAGACCATCTCTAATATTTTTCTGTTCTAACTGATTATGAATAATTGGTGTTAAATATTTATTGATAACATCATTCCAGAAAATTTCCTCATCCGGATCCAAGCAATCTTTTTCCGCTCCTCGAATGCATTTATCATTTAACCATACTTCGCTTATTTTAGAATTCCATTTACGATTACGCATAGCAGCAGCTGACTGATTAGTTATATCACGATCATCTTCTACATCTGTCTAAAAATTTAAATATAAACTTAAAAGTTTAAATTAAATTCTTCTGAAACTTTTGGATTAAGTTAATGCATGATAATTGTCATCTAATGCATTTATTTTTTACAAAACTAAAAGTAATTAAAATAAATATCTTTTTCTTTCCTTCTTTTACCTGATCTTCCTTAATTGAATTATTCTCCCATTTAGCTAATTCTGAATTATTTGCCAGTGCATTTGTATGAACTGTTCGAGTTGATATTGGCATTCCCGTTGATTGCAATCCAATGCAATCTAACTTATCCATCATTTCATTTACTTTACCACTTAATTGCCAAATCTATAGTAATTTTAATAATTCAATATTTAATTTTTATTTTTTTCTTATTTCATTCTTAGTAAATAAAACAACAAAATTATAATTCATTAATTCTGTTCCTCTATCAATATACCTGTGCTGTTTCCGCTGATTTATCTCTCAAACAACATATTAAGCGACAAGCTGCGCCACAACCAATTGCTATTTCACCGTCCACCTAGGAAAAAATTTTCTGTAATTTTTTAGCATAATTAGTAATTACAAATAATTTTTGATAAATAATTTCAGAAAAAAAAAATAGAAGAAAGTTAAATAAGAGTAGTAATGTAATTTAATACTCAACGAATGATTAATAACAAATAAGAATAATTAAGAACAATAATCATAACGATAATAAGAGTTATTATTATTAATGAATAGTTAATTATTAATAATAATAGTAATAAATGAACTAGCTAATAATTAAAAAGCTCAAATATTAAAGCCATAATATGTTAATTGTTTCTCAAATTTAATTATAAATTAACTCAATTAATTGATAATTATACTACTCACTTTAATTATATCATTCAAAATAAGAAAAATTATTTTTGGACAAATTTAAACCATAAAAATTTTTGCTTGAAAAGGATTGAAAAGTATGGACGTGAGAGACAGATTAAAAATTAGCGCACTATAAAATTATTTCTACAATTGAATTTGCTGAAATTTTAAAAATCGAATTCATCACATGCTCAGAATTAGTATTATATTATTCTTTTCTTTTTAGTTTTAAAACCTTTACC